CTGTCACTGGACAGAGTAAGGTTCAGTTTTATGGTGCCTGACTTCATTATTACTACTTTTAAAAAACATGATTTCTTATTTTTATTCTTACCTTGAACTATCTTGAATAATTTTCATGGAAATAATCAATCAAAAGAATCTATACTAAAAGTAACCATCACAGAAAAAAGCAGGGGTGGGGGGGGCAAGTGAAATATCAATATCCTCAAATATGCAGATGACACCACCCTTATGGCAGAAAGTGAAGAAGAACTAAAGAGCCTCTTGATGAAAGTGAAAGAGGAGAGTGAAAAAGCTGGCTTAAAGCTCAACATTCAGAAAACTAAGATCATGGCATCTGGTCCCATCACTTCATGGGAAATAGATGGGGTAACAGTGGAAAGGGTGGCTGACTTTACATTTTTGGGCTCCAAGATCACTGCAGATGGTGACTGCAGCCATGAAATTAAAAGATGCTTACTCCTTGGAAGGAAAGTTATGACCAACCTAGACAGCATATTAAAAAGCAAAGATATTACTTTGCCGACAAAGGTCCATCTAGTCAAAGCTATGGTTTTTCCAGTTGTCATGTATGGATGTGAGAGTTGGACTATAGAGAAAGCTGAGTGCCAAAGAATTGATGCTTTTGAACTGTGGTATTGGAGAAGACTCTTGAGAGTTCCTTGGACTTCAAGGAGATCCAATCAGTCCATACTAAAGGAGATCAATCCTGGGTGTTCATTGGAAGGACTGATGTTGAAGCTGAAACTCCATTACTTTGGCCACCTGATGCTAAGAGCTGACTCATTTGAAAAGACCCTGATGCTGGGAAAGATTGAGGGCAGGAGGAGAGGGGGATGACAGAGGATGAGATGGTTGGATGGCATAACCGACTCAATGGACATGGGTTTGGGTGGACTCCGGGAGTTGGTGATGGACAGGGGCCTGGCGTGCTGCAGGTTCATGGGGTCACAAAGAGTCGGACACGACTGAGTGCCTGAACTGAACTGAACTCACTAATTTAATACAGAATATAATTTAATGTAATATTAATATATGTTTTAATATTAATCTAATTCTACTATTACCAGGCTTCCCAGGTGGCACTAGTGGTAAAAAAATTCACCTGCAAATACAAGCGATGTAGGAGGCACAGGTTCAGTTCTTGGGTTGGGAAGACCCCCTGGAGTAGGAAATGGCAACCTACTCCAGTACTCTCACCAGGAAAATTCCATGGAGAAAGGAATCCAGCAGGCTGCAGTCCATGGGGCCACAGAGAGTTAAACAGGACTGAGCACAGTTCAAATATTTCCAGCTATATGTTCCTTTAAAAAATTCTAAATATTATCAAACTTTCAGATTTCATTAAGTAGTTTCAAACAAATCTGAAATGCTTGTCCCGATGCTTAATTTTTCCTCATATTTCAATAACTATGTATTATCCTATTCCTCCCCCGAGCCTTTCCTATGTCTAGGACCACTATGTGAAAGTTGCTCAATGGTGTCCAACTCTTTGTGATACCATGGACTATACAGTCTATGTAATTCTCCAGATCAGAATCCTGGAGTGGGTAGCCTTTCCTTTCTCCAGTGGATCTCCCCAACCCTGGGATCAAACCAAGGTCTCCTGCATTACAGGCGGATTCTTTACCAGCTGAGCCACAGTTCAGTTCAGTTCAGTTTAGTCGTTCAGTCGTGTCCAACTCTGTGACCCCCTGAATCACAGCATGCCAGGCCTCCCTGTCCATCACCAACTCCTGGAGTTTACTCAAACTCATGTCCATTGAGTTGGTGATGCCATCCAGCCATCTCATCCTCTGTTGTCCCCTTCTCCTCCTGCCCCCAATCCCTCCCAGCATCAGGGTTTTTTCCAATGAGTCAACTCTTTACATGAGGTAGCCAAAGTATTTGAGTTTCAGCTTTAGCATCAGTCCTTCCAATGAACACCCAGGATTGATCTCCTTTAGGATGGACTGATTGGATCTCCTTGCAGTCCAAGGAACTCTCAAGAGTCTTCTCCAATACCACAGTTCAAAAGCATCAATTCTTCGGTGCTCAGCTTTCGTTATAGTTCCACAAGGGAAGCCCAAAATAACTGGACTGGGTGACCTATCCCTTCTCCAACAGATCTTTCCGACCCAGGAATTGAACTGGGGTCTCCTGCATTGCAGGTGGATTCTTCACTAACTAGAGAGACTTATTTTATCCTATAAGAAACAATAGGTAAAATTAAGAAAATTAGAAGTGACAATGGAGAGAAGTTGTTTTAAATGTGCAAATCAAAGAGAATTCTAAGCTTTGGTGCAACTTTTCATATTTGTTATAACTATATAATACCCAAATACAAAATGAAAAATAAATAATTAAGTGCAAAAATGGATGACTTTGGCTCAGATCATAAACTCTTATTGCAAAACTCAGACTGAAATTGAAGAATGTAGGGAAAAATAAAAACCCACTAGGCCATTCAGGTATGACCTAAATCAAACCCCTTACAATTATACAGTGGAAGTGACAAATAGATTCAAGGGATTAGATCTGAGAGACAGAGTGCCTGAAGAACTATGGATGGAGGTTCATGACATTGTACAGGAGGTAGAGATCAAGAAAAAGAAATGCAAAAAGGCAAAATGGTTGTCTGAGGGGGCCTTACAAATAGCTGTGAAAGAAGAGAAGCGAAAAGCAAAGGAGAAAAGGAAAGATATTCCCATTTGAATGCAGAGTTCTAAAGAACAGCAAGGAGAGATAAGAAAGACTTTCTCAGTGATCAGTGCAAAGAAATAGAGGAAAACAATAGAATGGGGAAGACTACAGATCTCTTCAAGAGAATTAGAGATACCAAGGGAACATTTCATGCAAAGAGGCAACAGTAAAGGACAGAAATGGTATGGACCTGACAGAAGCAGATGTGAAGAAGAAGTGGCAAGAATACATGAAAGAACTATAAACAAAGATCTTAATGACCCATATAATCACAATGGTGTGATCACTCACCTAGAGCTGGACATCATTCACGACACTTCAATCTTCTCCTCCAAATCCCTTTATGATCTCCCTCACCTCTTCACATTTTGTTTAATCAATTTACCTTTTTATTTTCTTACTTCTGAACAAAAATTTTTTGGGCAGTGGACGTCCATATAATTTTACTATGTAGAGTATGGATCAATTATTTTGTTCAGTCTCTACATACTGATTATTTGTCAAAACAATAAATCTAAAATTTCAAGGAATTCATACAAATGAGTTAAACTAAAAGCATTCAGTTTATAAGTTCACCACTAGGTTTTGTTAGAGAAGTCAAAAACTTTTTCTAGTTATAAATTATCATCTTGCAGATTTTCAATAGGATGAAAGTAAACAGCAAATTTACTTATTAGACTTACAGTTGGCAGTCATTACTTCTGAAGAGTTGTACTGTTTTTAGAATTATTCTAATCTACACACTAGAAAATTAATATTAAACTTAAAATATATCCCCTGGAAGCAAATAAAATATTTTATTAATCCTCATCTGTACCTGTTATGAATAACTTATAGTTTTATTATGAAAAAGCTTCTCATTGGTTGAATTCTAAATTTAAAAAAATTATCTATGATTAAAAGTTAACTGATAATACATATACAGAGATATAAATTAGCCCCTAATCCTCTCATTATTATACAACCAAGTTTATATTGCTGTGTGTGTGTGTATGGGTGTCTGTGTACAAACCCAAATGTATTTTCTTTCCTATTTTAATAACGGTTTTAATTTTGTTTTAAATATTCCTTTTACTTTAAATGACCCATGGGAAGTTTTAGACGTGAGTAGTCTAGCCCTCTCTGAGCCCCAGTGAACAAGAAATTATCTAGTATGCTCAGTATTTCAGTAACTCTACTTTGCTGACATTTTCCACTCTAAACATTAAATCCAGGAAGATTTAGCCCTCAAGAAAATCATTATCAAGTTCATCTCATTAGACTTCCTTCAGAAGAGTTAGAGGAAAAAATCATTAGAAAGAAATGGAAATATAATAGAATCATAAGAAAGCCACTTAAAACTTTTCTTGTTTTCCTTTCTTATTTTTTTGCATGTATGAAACATTTTTTGCATGCCTGATAAATCATTTTAATGTAATAATCAGAGAACAAATGCTAAATCTTGATACCAAGACATTTATAAAGACTATTTTTCAACCTGTACATAAAAGTAGTATCAATTTAGGAATAATGTAGCTCACCCATTGCTGAAATGTCACAAAAAAATTGAAGAAGGAAGGAGGGGAGTAAGGAAGGAAGGAGAGTAAAGGAGAAGAGTAATGACTAAAGCAATTGATTGAGATTTAAAATCAACCTAGTGGGGTTGATCAAAGAAGATGCATGATTAATTAACAGTTTAATTAATGGTTTAATAGTCCTACATAACTAATTGCAGTCAAGAAAAAAAGAAATAAAGAGGTGAAATATAAATGTGAGAAAATTTAGAAAATAAAGTAGTTGTATAACAAAATGGACAAAAAATTCAAAAGAGAAAAAAAATGCATACTGCATTTTATAGGGTCCTTACATTTTAAAGACTGTAAGGAAAGTAGTTACAACTTATTTGCTTGTGTTCAAGTTTCTTTAGTCTAAAATTATCTTACATAATTTTTTCATTCTAGATCGGCTTTTCCTAACATGAAGTCCATTTCTAATTAACTTTCTTCTTCAGCTTCTGTGACAGAATTATGTAGATAAATACATTTATGAAATAAAAATAATTTTTTAATATTGTCAAAACATTATTAGAAGGATAAATAAATTGGAAATTATGAACTAATAACATTATCACATATGTGATATCACATATCACACATATCACAATTAAATTAGGAATTATCCTCTCTGAAATTCTTAACCTTATAGTTTCTCTCCATTAGTACACAGTTAAAGGCCAAAATGTAATGTGACCAATACTCTATAAAGTTTATGGCAAATCAATATTTGTGTTTGTGCATATTCTTTGACTTCCATAAAACTCCCTGAAATATAAGTCTTACCTCATTCTGGAGATCTCGAATCATTTTGCTCTTTCTTTCCATTTCAGTCTTTAGAAAATGAATCTGAAAATAAAGAGGACACTATGTAGATACATTTCAAATTATTTCTATAGCTTTTATAAGCTTATTTTCATAATTTTTGAAGTATAAATATATGATTATCTCTGTCAACAAATATGGAAAAAGAACAAAGGATTATAATTTTCATTAACCAAAATTTTATTGCCCAATTCATAAATATATCTGCTAATTATACAAAAATACTCTTTTCTTATATAATAAGAAATTGTATTTTAATTGAGAAATGCACATTATGACTATGATTCTTTCACCTGTATAAAGCTTTTTGTTTGTTTGTTTGTTTGTTTTTCTTTTCATTTATTTTTATTAGTTGGAGGCTACTTACTTTACAATATTGTAGTGGTTTTTGCCATACTTGACATAAATCAGCCATGGATTTACATGTGTTCCCCATCCCGATCCCCCCTCCTGCCTTCCTCTCCATCCCATCCTTCTGGGTCTTCCCAGTGCACTAGGCCCAAGCACTTGTCTCATGCATCCAACCTGGGCTGGTGATCTGTTTCACACTTGATAGTATACTTGTTTCAATGCTGTTCTCTCAGAACATCCCACCCTCGCCTTCTCCCACAGAGTCTAAAAGTCTGTTCTGTACATCTGTGTTTCTTTTTCTGTTTTGCATATTGGGTTACTGTTACCATCTTTTAAAATTCCATATATATGTGTTAGTATACTGTATTGGTCTTATCTTTCTGGCTTACTTCACTCGGTATAATGGGCTCCAGTTTCATCCATCTCATTAGAACTGATTCAAATGAATTCTTTTTAATGGCTGAGTAATATTCCATGGTGTATATGTACCACAGATTCCTTATCCATTCGTCTGCTGATGGGCATCTAGGGCATCTAGGTTGCTTCCATGTCCTGGCTATTATAAACAGTGCTGCAATGAACATTGGGGTGCATGTGTCTCTTTCAGATCGGGTTTCCTCGGTGTGTATGCCCAGGAGTGGGATTGCTGGGTCATACGGCAGTTCTATTTCCAGTTTTTAAGGAATCTCCACACTGTTCTCCATAGAGGCTGTATTAGTTTGCATTCCCACCAACAGTGTAAGAGGGTTCCCTTTTCTCCACACCCTCTCCAGCATTTATTGCTTGTAGGCTTTTGGATAGCAGCCATCCTGACTGGCACATTATGACTATGATTCTTTCACCTGTATAAAGATTAATTTTAAAAAATATGGTTCCTAAACAGAGCTAGAGTCTAGGGTTGGGCCTAGGAATCTCTTTTATTAAAACACTCTCCAGGTATTTCTGACATATGGACAAGTATGAGAGGAATTGCACAGTGATGATCCTGACCTGAAGCATGGAACCTTATAAATACTGTGCTAAAGAAACCAAGAGGTTTCTGCCTATATACAATATTGTTGAAATCTGTAACCAAATGGTAACAAAATCTAAACCAAACAGTTTTTTATGGTCAAACTACATATAAAATAGAAGCAGAAGCCTGAGAACCACTATGTCCATCAGTTCGGCCACAACAATTTTCAAAGTTAAGTTTGAATCATGAAGATACTGACATCAACCTGAAAGTGTGAGTTAACACTCACTATCAATTTGATGAATAAAACAAAGGTATCACTAGAAGGACTTGATGACAATCAAAATTAGGTATGTGTGCAAAGCAGTATGTCCCCCCCAAAACAGCTTTTATACCCATTTCTTCTGCTCTGGGCTGGCGTCAACTTACTGGTTACCACTGTTATGGGCTGGACCAACTCTTGTGGTTTTGTTTATCACTGTAAAATGCCTTCAGCAATAACCGTCAGGAAAGTTTGAAAAAAAAAATAAGGGTTTATGACTTATGAGTCCAAGAAATAACATGGTATAGTTGGAAGGCGTTTGTGAGGAGAGAGAGCGAGAGGGAGTCCATGGACCTGGGGTTCTGTTTTTATTGGGGTGGAGGGTGGGGGCCTAGGGCTTCAGAATGTTCACTCTTTATTGGTGACTTTAAAATATGGTACATATACACAATGGAATATTAGTCATTAAAAAGAATATATTTGAATCAGTTCTAATGAGATGGATGAAACTGGAGCCTATTATACAGAGTGAAGTAAGCTAGAAAGATAAACAGTAATACAGTATACTAACGCATATACATGCAATGGTAACGATAATCCTATATGCAAGACAGAAAAAGAGACACAGATGTATAGAACAGACTTTTGGACTCTGTGGGAGAAGGCAAGGGTGGGATGATCTGAGAGAATAGCACTGAAACATGTATATTATCAAGGGTGAAACAGATCGCCAGCCCAGGTTGGATGCATTAGACAAGTGCTCAGGGCTGGTGCACTGGAAAGACCCAGAGGGATGGGATAGGGAGGGAGGTGGGAGCAAGGATCAGGATGGGGGACACATGTAAATCCATGGCTGATTCATGTCAATGTATGGCAAAAACCACTACAATATTGTAAAGTAATTAGCCTCCAACTAATAAAAATACATGAAAAAAATTTTTAAAAATTAAAAAAAAATAAAACATGAGTGGCAATTTAAAGTGCAGAACAGAAAATCACTAAACAAAACATCAAGAAGCCCCAAAGGTCAGTTAACAAACTTAAATTAACCAAAACCTCTGGGAAAAAAAAAAAAGGCTCACTGGGGAGCATAGGTGGGAGGTACAGCTGATTCTTCAAGTCAGTGGTTGGCTAAGTGTTTATTGGAGAAAGGCCTTTTTGAAGTGGTTGCCTCTTTGAAGTGGCCAAATTTTTAATAAAAAAAAATTTATTGGAGTATGAGTCAGACACTTAAACTACAAAAAGAAATGCAAACCATCAGGACTTATAATACTCTACCTCAGTACTTAATGGGCACCAGAAAATTTTGATATGTACAGATTTGTCTTTAGTTTTGCTTATGAACTATTTAAAGCCACCTTGGTTGTCTGAATAACCTGGTGTTTCAGTGATGCCATGAAAGTGAAATTGTTAGTCGCTTAGCCATGTCCAACTCTCTGCAACCTCATGTACTGTAGCCCTCCAGTCTCCTCCGTCCATGGAATTCTCCAGGCAAGAATACCTGAGTGGGTTACCATTTCCTTCTCCAGGGGATCTTCCCAAGCCACGGATCAAACCCAGGTCTCCCACACTGCAGGCAGATCCTTCACCATCTGAGCCATCAGGGACCATGGGGACACTGACCCCATATTATCTTATCAGTGATGCCACAATTTTCCCCAAATCCTCACATTTTGATACTATTTATTATATGTTCTCCATAATTAACACTTAACTTTAATTAACAGGGTAATGAAGATATACTGCAATGTCAAGACTAAAAAAAGGACAGAGACTTGGGAATGCAATGTTCAATTATTCAGGACCTACAATACATTCAGAATATTCAAAAGTCATAGCATTTTGAAACCACTGGTCTAGAATCCCAGCAGGTTTTAAGATTCCTGGAAAATCAGAAGTGAAATAGTTCTGAGAGAGAGAAAATAACACTTATTTACATTGAGTAAAGAACAGATGGCCATAATTCCTTATTCTTAATGAGAGTCAGAGCTTGAAGCTAATTCTTGCCTTTGGACTAATTATGTCTCACTTAGGGCAAGTTAAGCCATAAAAATTAACAAGAGTGGTGAAATGCATCCAGAGAGCATTAATGGATTTAATTACTCTGGCTACACCTGATAGATCATTCTTTCTTGCTGTTTGTTAGGTTTTTCATACAGGACACAAGTTTGTAAGATTTGCTACTCCATTATCTGCTTAGAGATAAAAACAGATGCTCACATGTTCATAAAAAGTATTTGCAAATGGAATTAGATCAAGATAGCTTTATTTTTAATTTTCATTAAAATACTTCTTCATTTGAATTTTCAAAATTTTGTCTTCTTTTATATTTTTGTGATTTAAAAGTACTATCACCTTCAAGTTTTATGACGTTTTACTACGGACTTACTAGGGATTTTCAGGTGGTGCTAGTGGTAAAGAACCTGCCTGCCAATGCAGGAGACACAAAAGATGGGAGTTTTATCCCTAGGGTTCTGATCGCTGGGTCAGGAAAATCCCCTGGAGGAGGGCATGGCAACCCGCTCCAGTATTCTTGCCTGGAGAATCCCATGGAAAGAGGAGCCTGGTGGGCAACAGTCCATAGGGTTGCACAGAGTTGGACTTACTAATATAGGTATTTGCAACATCTTTTGCATAAAATACACAATCTTCTTTTATGGAAAAAGGCAGAGTATTTAGATATGTAATCAAGGGCAGCACATAAGAGTATTTGCTCCTAAGTCTAAAATAGCATGACAATATTTACAGAATCAAATCCAAATGTTTTCCCTCTTGGTGGAAATGAACAGTTTAAATTTCTCACTGTCCCCTTCTTATCCAACATTAAACTACATCAACTAGAGTCTTTCTAGCAGAAAGAATATTCACTGAATTATTTGCAAGAATTAAACATATATACTTATTTAACCTTCAATAAGGAGAAAAAGCACAAACATTTTGAGTCTTTACTAAAGTTTGGAAGTGAGGAGTCCCAGTAGTATGAAATCGGTCTTTTTCTAGATTCTACCAGAAGTACATTAAAAAAAAAATACTTCTACTAATTAAATATATTTTATTCCCATATTTGTTAAGCTTTCTGTCATCTATTTTTGACCTTTGACTTAGGACTTATTAGTCATTCAACTCAAAGCACAAACACATTCCCTCCAAAAGACAAGCATTATTTATTTCCACAGGTGTTTGCATTCATTGATCTTGATGATACATATTGTTAATATAATCTTGAATTTGCTCTTATAGAAATTTTACATGTACATTCATTAGTGGAAAAATAGCTATTAATTTACACATATAGCTACTAGTTGGTTTTGGAATCATAAGTGATGATGTTCATAAACTTAGATGAAAGTTTTCAACCTTTTTCTATTTTTGAGAAAGTATTTGCCTATATTTGAAATTGGGTCTCAGGTGGCGCTGGTGGTAAATAACCTGCCTGCCAATGCAGGAGACATAAGAGACTTGACTTCGATCTCTGGGTCGAGACAACCCCCTGCAGTAGGAAATGGCAAGCCACTCTAGTATTCTTGCCTGGAGAATCACATGAACAGAGAAGCCTCGTGGGCTGCAGTCCATGGGGTCACAAAGAACTGGACACAACTGAAGCAAATTAGTCAATATTTGAAATTAGCCGATCTTTAAAAATTGGTAGAAGTCACCTTCCAGCCCTGGAGTATATGGGAAAGGAGGTCTTTCAGCATAATAAAATTTTGAATGTATTCAGTTAATCAAGTATTACGTTTCTTCTTGCAAAAATGTTAGCATTTTATACGTATTCATCTAGGAATTTACATGTACATTTTAAATGTACCAGTGACCTGCTGCTCATAATAACTTATTTTGTTAAATTCCTATTATGACTATTAGCTCTCTTTTAATTAAACATTTTAAAATTGGAGTATTTTTATTCTTAATCTTTCTCAAAGTCTATTTATCAGTCCTTTCAAATAACAGTCATTTTTTTTCTATTTTATTGTCTTCAACTTTTATAATACTCTCTTACACTGATGTTTTGCTTTTTCAATAACTTCTTAAATTTTTGTTGCTAGTATTCTTTCTGGAAAAAATCCAAAGATCTGCATCTACCTCAACTATTACACTGGCACATGGTGTCTTCATTATTATTATTTCTTTATATATTTTATTATTTCTTAGTAACTAAAGAGTTATTATAAAATGTTTTATATATTTTTCAAACATAAGGAATTGTTTAACCATTTATTTAAACATTTATTAAAATACATTGAAACTTTTGCCATCAGTAATTTTTTGCCTACATTATTCTTTCAACTGGAAAATTTATTTATTACAATTGTTTTCTTTCTATTGAGTAGATTAAATTTCTATTATCCACTATATGTCAGATAACAATTTTAGGGTAAAAAAAAATTTAGGGTAATCATGCATGTTATTTTATTTTGAATTATTCCCCGAATTCTTCAAATAAGGAAACTTGCAGGTTAAAGAACCTAATTTTATAGACAATAAATGGACCACTGGCCTTCCCAGGTAGCTCAGTGGGTAAAGAAATTGCCTGCAATGCAGGAGACACAAGTTCAGTCCCTGGGTTGGGCAGATCCCCTGGAGGAGGGCAAGGCAACCTGCTCCAGTATTCTTGCCCGGAGAATCCCATGGACAGAGCAGCCTGGCAGGTAATGCATGGGGTTACAGAGTCGGACATGACTGGAGCGACTGAGCATGCATGAACAGATGACCCACCAGGAATTTAAACCTGAAAATTCTTATTCTGTGCTTCCCTGTGGCTCAGATGGTAAAGCATCTGCCTGCAATGCGGGAGACCTGGGTTTGATCCCTGGATCAGGAATTTCTCCTGGAGAAGGAAATGGCAACCCACTCCAGTACCCTTGCCTGGAAAATCCCATGGATGGAGGAGATTTTCTTTTCTTTCTTTCTTTCTTTCTATTCTTATTCTATAGCACATGTTAGGTTATGAATACATTTAGGGAGTTTCTGCCTCAGTACAGTATTATGGGGTGGGAGAGGAAAATCCTCCTGAAGATTCAATGCTGAATTTTAATAAAAGCACTAGAAGGGTCTGAGACCTTCTTCTCCCCAACTATGCATCCCTTGTCCCCATTATTTTCTGATACTTGGCTATTCTAGCTTTTGCTGAGCTCCTCCAAAAATTATAGCTTTCTTCTTTGGGGATATTAGACATAGTTTGTGTAGCATATTAGAGTAAACACAGGTTCATGTCTTGGCTTCTCCAAATATTAACTGTGTAAATACAAGCAATAGTTATTCACTTTCAGTAAAAATAATAATAATAGTGTGCCATTTTATTGTGACAATCTGAGAATATAGTATGGAAACAGTATGAGAAATAGTGTGGAAACTTCTATTCTGGTCTAAATGCCATTATTTATGACTGGGCTATTCATAAATTGAGATTACATGTGATAAGTCAAGGCAGAATGGGATTGCAATTAGGGTCACTCACTACACGGGGTCAGATTTTGAGGGGAGGGATCAACATGGTGGTGCTAAAAATGTGTCTGCTCTTTCATGTAACACCTGTGTCCAAAGAAGGGTTTCCCAGGTGGCACTGGGGCTGAAGAACCTGCCTGCCAATGCAGGAGACGTTAAGAGATGCAGGTTCGATCCCTGAGTTGGGAAGATCCCCTGGAGGAGGGCATGGCAACCCACTCCAGTATTCTCGCCTGGAGAATCCCATGGACAGAGGAGCCTGGCGGGCTACAGTCAGTCCATAGAGTTGCACAGAGTCAGACACAACTGAAATGACTTAGCACACACATAGGTCCAAAGAGCTAGGCACTAGGGCGCACTGTAGGTTTAGGTTAGCAGTGAGCACTGCCATGGCGTAACAGAGAAGAATAAAGGTGCTCATCTTTACTGGTGGGCTGGACAGATAACAATGAATTTATTAAAAGGAAATAAATCTGCGCCTAGGAAAATCAAGTCATTATTACAAAGACTGTCTCTAGAAAGCAGTTACTCCAGATGACAGACAGGGCTAAGTTTCAGAGGCAAAATTCTATACTGTAATTCAGATTATTCAAGGAAGCCTTGCAAAAGAAAGGCAGGCGTTTCTGCCAATTCTCAAAGGGGCTGGGGTCCCAGGTAATCAACCTGGATGGAGATATTGTATTAGCACTGTTTCTAGCCTCTGTAAACTTGAAGTTTTAGCTTCTATCTTGCACACATACGGAGACACGCCTACTTATGGACAGCCCAATAATATGCTTGAGTCACCCTATCTTCACCTCCTGCCCACCTCACCACTGCTCCTTCCACACCCCCTAAAAATAATACTGGGGGCATGCTTTTCAAATGCAAACTAACCAATACAGAGCCTGTAGCCCCAGCCACACCTTCTATTGGGTTCTCACACTCCAGGACACTACATAAATGCCTTAATCATCCTTTGACCCAGGTACCAGACAAACAGCCCCTGTGTCCCAGAGCCTGCTGAAATCATTCAAACTGGCCAATGGTAGGCCAGCTTACCTTGCTTAACCCTTTCCTTCTCACGGAAACCACAACAGAGGCTCTTGTCCACAGTTCCCCCACCTTCATGTGCCCCGGGACTGACCTGGGGCTTCCCTGCATGGTCCCTCATGCCACCCTTCTTGGCAACTGTGGTAAATAACTATCTTTCCAAATGTAGTCATTTCCTGATCTGTTGCTCTTGTGCGCGCATGCTTAGTTGCTTTAGTCGTGTCCAACTCTTCACAACCCCAAGGACTATAGTCCACCAGGCTCCTCTGTCCATGGGATTCTCCAGGCAAGAATACTGGAGTGGACTCACCTTGCCCTCTTCCAGGGGATCTTCTTGACCCAGGGATCGAAACTGCCTCCTGTGGCTTCTATACTATAGGTGGATTCTTTACCGCTGAGCCACCCACTGGGGAAGCCCTTCTGTTGGTCTTACTATACCTTAAAATTTTAATTAATAGACTATACTTTAAAAAAGACTCAGGTCCTCAAATAAAATAAATGCTTCAATCCCCATAAATTGAACATAAAGGGGGAACAGGTAGAAATCTAGTTTTCAGCACTACTATCCAAACCACTATCCCTCCTGCTAATGGGGAATATTAGTCATAAAAATTGAAATATGAAGATCAAGTGAACATCATTTTGAGAGAGAAAATCTGAGGAGAAGATTGATTCTTAAACCCTGGGGTGTATCAGGATCACCTGTGGAGATGATTAAATAGGCAGATGGTGTAATCCCACCTTTGAGAGACATCTATTCAGTGGTTGTAGGGTATGGCTTAGGGCTCTGGATAGCTTAACTTAATTCAAGGTCACATCCCAAAATTCAAGGGCTGCTGATATGGGGCCTGACACCAGCACTCTTGTCCTCAGTTTCTCTTTCATAAATAAGGGTTGGGAATTAGCAGACCCCTAAGAAGCAAATACATATTATTTTTGGAATGAATGCTGATGAAGTATGTTTTATAATCTTGGTGATGGTATTTTACTTATTGTATTTTCATTTTTATTTGTTACAGGTGTGTTTGTTCAATAGTGATTTTGGGGGAAAAAAAATAAATGAACAATTCTCCAGCCCCAAAGCAAAGTACATAAAAAAGAAACACTTACAGTAGCCTCTTGTTTTTCTGCTTTGTCAGCTGTCTCCTTAAGCTGATTTTCCAGGGCCTCCTGGAGAGCCTTCATTTGTTCTCTTGTTTAGGAGAAAACAGAGAGGAAAAGAGAGACATAATATAACTCTGTACACTATGAAATAAGATTTCACTGCACATATACATTTCAGAAACATAACTAGAATGTATAGAGACAGTTAAATATACAGGATCGCATCTCAGGATTCTGGTAAAGAGTACTGTTTCCCATGGAAGCTCTAAAAGCAAGCTGAATTTAAGAGAAATTGCCTTGCTATTGTGTCTTATAAGAATCCCACTGTGAGAGCTGCATAATGTGTCAAATCATATCAATAAAATAATTAAGAGTTGGAAAGCTAATTTTAGTGACAGCATGCTAGGGTGTGAACATGCTGTTCAGGAAAAAAAAAAAAAAAGTTACCACAGACTTGCTGACAGGATAAAATCATCATTCCCTTGGATGCCCCAATTGACTAATTCTAAAGCATTATGTTTTAGACATCTTGTGTAAGGTCTGAGACTTTTTGTAAAAACAAAGAGAAAAAAAAAGATTTATTTCTAATGTGAAAGCCCATTTATTGGGGATAATAAAAAACACATGTCTGCACACATATACACATTGTGTCTCAAGCTCACTCAGACATACGGACCTGTCTCACATTAAAAATTAAATATTTTCATAAATATGCATTTCCTTCAAAAGTTTAGGATTTTCTCAATTATGACAGACTTTATTATCTTTCTGGGCCTTCATTTTATCATCTAAGCTATCACTTCAGATAGCAGATAATAGCATATGAGTGAAGCATGCGTGTTAAGTGTTGTAGTGTGTTAAGTATGGCTAGAGGACTAAACTCCTTCAAAGCAACAGCAACGACCAGATGAAAACGTAGCATACAAACTAAAATTCCCAGTCTAGTGCCAAAAGATAACTTCTGGAACAAAAATATTTTCTTGGTGTGTAATCACAATACGGAGACTATGGAATAGGAGAGTATACTCTGAGACTCATTTTTATCCATCATAAAATGGGCATAATGACAGAACTACCTCACAGATTTGTAGTGAGGTTTAGAAGACAATAAGGCAGGCAAAATGCTTGGAAAATAATCACTTAATACACATGAGATCATTGTTATAACCACTGGTACCACTAGAGGTCCCTGTGTTCATTCTTTGACTAGCACATCCTGCACAGCCGCAGGCTGCTCTTTCACGCCGAAAACTTAATGAGGCCCCCAGTTTTCTTATCTAGAAACTCCTAGGTCACACTCTCAGTTTTAGGACTATCCATGAAAGTCTATACGATTGTTGGAATCAATCTGGATGTTGTTTATCAAAGCAAAACATAATAGGAACAACTTATAAAATAATTACAGTCACTTTGGTTCTTAGATGATTTATGCGTGATTGGGTAAAACTTTAATATGCTTTCGTTTAAAGTGGATTTTAAATCTCAGTTTCCTTTACAGCCTGAAATAGGTTTCATTTACTAAAACTGTTTATTAGAATGAAGTGTCACATGCGTTGATTGTGCTAAGTCGCTTCAGCTGTGTTTGACTCTTTGCGACCCTATGGACTGTAGCCCGCCAGGCTCCTCTGCCCATGGGATTCTCCAGGCAAGAATACTGAAGTGGATTGCCATTTTCTTCTCCAGGGGATCTTCCTGACCCAAGAATTGAACCCTCATCTCTTAAGTTTCCTGCAGTAGCAGGCGGGTTCTTTATTTATTTTTTTTTCCATTTATTTTTATTAGTTGGAGGCTAATTACTTTACAATATTGTAGTGGTTTTTGTCATACATTGACATGAATCAGCCATGGATTTACATGTGTTCCGCATCCCGATCCCCCCTCCCACCTCCCTCTCCACCCAATCCCTCTGGGTCTTCCCAGTGTACCAGGCCTGAGCACTTGTCTCATGCATCTGGGCTGGTGATCTGTTTCACCCTAGATAATATACATGTTTCGATGCTGTTCTCTCAAAACATCCCACCCTCGCCTTCTCCCACAGAGTCCAAAAGTCTGTTCTGTACATCTGTGTCTCTTGTGGTAACGATAACCCTATATGCAAAACAGAAAAAGAGCAGGTGGATTCTTTACCGTTAGGCGCAACCTGGCAAACCCCAAAAGCGCCACATATGAACACTTAAAATATGGATTTCCATTACTGCGTCTGATATTTTTCACACTGAACACCTGTGACATAATATAATATGAATGTCTACCGATACTGTAGACTTATAGTACACCAGGCACTCAATAAATTTCACATCAAATTGTAGTATCTTATTGCAAATGGAAAACTGATGCATAAAGAGGTAGTGGAACTGTGTTCTGGACCATATGTGCTCAAATTCTAGAGAGTCATTATAATATCTCTATTGAAGGAGAGAGACAGAGAGAAAAAGAAGGATGGAAGGATGTACGTTCTATTCCTAACACTCAAAGATTTAACAAGTACTGAACAAAAATACAACAGAACTATCATGTGCTGTGTGCTTACTTGCTCAGTCGTGTCTGACTCCTTGTGACCCCATGGACTGTAGCCAGCCAGACTCCTCTGTCCATGGGGATTCTCCAGGTAAGAATCCTGGAGTGGGTTGTCATATTCCCTTCCAGGTAATCTTCAAAACCCAGGGATCAAACCCAGGTCTCTGCCTTTGTAGGAGGATTCTTTACCATCTGAGCTACCAAGGAAGCCCAAGAATATTGGAGTGGGTAGCCTATCCCTTCTCTAGGGGATCTTTCTGACCCAGAAATCGAACCACGATTTCCTGCATTGCAGGAATATTCTTTACCAGCTGAGTTATCAGGGAAGCCCTAGGACTACTATATTTCCAACTAAAAAGTTTTATATTAAAGTCTTATAATAATTATTCATTACTTCTGGATTTTAAAATTATCATTTTTATTTTTAAAGTGATACTTATGTTTTAAATTATAAAATATAAATTTTATAAAATTCAATATATGTACATATCTATTCAAAAATACCCACATACTGACATCTATAGGCAATAGGGAGTAAGAAAAAAAAAGTAAACTGCAAAAGCTGTTAACAAAAACTGGAGAAACAGAGAATTCTGCACATTTTCACGGCAAGGAAAGCTATCCACCAGAATGGCAAAGCAGTCCTTTTGAAACTTTTGAATATCTCCATCTCCTCTTAGGTTTTTCAAGCTTATTTCTACACATTCTCACTGCTCTCAGGCTTTAGGTGGCCCCCAACTCCCCAGACTTGGTGAGTTTGACTCCAATGAGAAATTCTTGCTGACTTACTCAAGGACCATCCCAGTCCACCAAGTGTGATTGCACAGGATAGAGATCCTCTTGGTCCCTATTTGGCACTGAGCTGAAGCTTGAATTCTAAAGAACTGTGACAGGCTTCTCCAATGCTGAGTATATTTAGCAGAAAATTTCATGGTTACAAGGAATTTTAAAAGGCAGCTCTTTCACACATCTTCCATTTCCAATTATAAACATAAAAATGCCTCACCCTACAGGAAGGTATTTTTTTCGAATGGTTACCAGCCTGTATTGCGGTAACATCACAGAAAGAAATCTTGCTGCTATCCCAGGCATTCTTTTCCTTTTCAGAGAACTCAATATAGTAAAATCCTTTAGTCCAAAACTGCTTTCTCAGAATCTCTATCCAGCAACCATTGCAGAGCGTAAAATATATCATTCCTTTTTATTTTCAAGACATGCATGCCTGCTAAGTGGCTTCAGTTGTGCCTGACTCTGTGCGACCCTATGGATGGTAGCCTACGAGGCTCCTCTGTCCATGGGATTCTCTAGGCAAGAATACTGGAGTGGGTTGCCATTTCCTTCTCCCCCAGAGTCTCTATTTTGTGGTTGCATACTCTCGTTCTTCACATGGTATGGCTTAAAAGTCTCTCCATCAACTTGAGGATTCTTTTATGAATACTGCCTAGGCTGTCTAAATATTTATGTAAGTGTAAAAATCAAGAGTCAATGCAACTTTCTCTCTCATGTAAAATTCTGTGTGCATGTGTGCACACCCACACACACTCCTTTTTCTGTACCTCTTGGTGGAAAGACACACTGCTCTTTCTACCTAGTTATTCATGGCTACCTCATATCCTGTGAGTTTACTTACTTAAAATCTAGTACAGCCAAACAGAGAGATTTCATTAGTTGCTTCTTGGCACACGATTCCAAGAGGGAAATTCTAATTGATTGAGTTTTGTTTTGGTGGCCACCTTGAGCTAATTAACTGTATCCAGTGATATCAGAGTCAGATCAAAGGTAGTCTGGAGACCACTTCTCTAGGGAAAGGCCAGGTGGTAATCCCAGAGGACAAAGAATTACTGGGAACCAGGTATATACGTAGATGGCATCTGCAATACATTATAATCTTCCCAGCTCTGATAATATGTCTAAATTTGTAATCAGTTAATACTTTTCATAGTCTGAGAAGGTTTTTCTCTTTTACTATTTTTCAATCTTATTTTGGAAATGAGATACATAGCCTCTTTCACATTCAGATAATCATAATTTTTATATATCTCTAAACAGAAAAAAACACATATCAAATGCATTATACTTTTGAGAAATCACCTGTTGGTAGGTGATTTATTTGAATTTTCCTTTCTGACTTTGCGCATTGTATAAGTTATGCATTTTAAACAAATTTTATAATTTTGGATAAAACTTTGAAAGCATAATTCCAAATATTTGCTCCATTAAACCCATTCACTGAAAGACTTGGTCCATCATCTGCCATTCGTATACCATGCCAAATATACAGATGATGACCTGAAATTTTTAACAAGTCTAGTCATATTTTTCCATGTTTACATGGATATTTGGAGTGTCATGTAGAGACAGCCTTAGATAACTTAAGAAAATAGCAGCAAACTAAAGGAATACGCTTCTCCTTTTCCATATCATGCAGAAGCCTGTCTCCTCATCTATGTCTCTCGTGCAATAGGAAACCCTGATGCTGTTGCTCTCAGGCCCTGGTGCTCACAGATGAGATCTCTGGGTCCTCTTCTCTAGGCCACCTTTCCTCCACCTGGTCTGTGTCTCTTTCTTTCTGCCTTGAACGGTGTTGTCAGAATAATTCCCCTAAAATATGATTTAAATTACAGCATCCTTTTTCAGAGCTACCTAAAATGAGCCTTCTGTTGAAGTCCACTTTCAGCCAACTTTCAAGAATGGCCCCCATTTACGCATGACAGCCTCATTTTCTAATCTTTCCTGACTCACTCTGTCCTCTTTTGTCAACGCAATCCCCTCACTGGTGTTGCCCATGGATTATGCAGAAGTCATTTCTATTTTTATGTTTTTGTTTATCTTTTCCAAACGTGGGAGAGTCTGCAAAAACTAATAACCTTCAATGACACTTGGTCTGCTTTGATTAGCTATTCCTATTGAAAATATGGTTTATAATTCTCCACTAACTCAGTGAACCACAAATACTTATGTGTTTTAAAAGGTGGATTATTTAAAACCAGTAAAATAGTTTAAAATTATGTACTTTTGAAAATACGCTTAGACCTATATTTTACACGAGATCTTTTTAATGTTGGACTCTGGAGAGAGTTTCATGTTCAAGAAATAAAGATTTCATTTAAATAATGAAAAGAGTCAAGATGAGATGCTCGATTTGATATTTTTAACATGTCATTGCCTCAATGACATGAGGTTTCTGGGTCACGAGGCAAAGGCAGTGGAGAAGATACAAGACGGTAAGAAGAGGATACATAGTGCAGTGTCTGTCAACTTCTTAAACAGCCTTCTGCTTTGGATAGGTAAGCTGACTTGAAAGGGTATGACTATAGACAAGATACAGCAGAGCAAATCTAATTTAATACAACTCTCAGCAATTTGCTTAAGCATTTTGAGCAACAATTTCCCATTTATTGATTGGGGACAATAATGACTATAATTGTGGTATTGAAACAAAAAATATATGTATATATATAAAACCATCAGAGCCTCTAATAAATGCATAACAAATAACAAAGGCTAGCTCTTTTATACCTTACAATACCTTGGCTTTTTTGTGTATTTGTTAGAAAAGCAGTTTCAAGTAATAGTTTTTTTTTTTTTTAATACCAGGTATAAATCTAGCTCATATTTCACTCCCTTCAAAAATAAACAAAGTAACAGTAATAAAAATGTTCAAATTCTACTATGCTATTAATAAAAGTACCCCATTCCTTATCAACCCAATTATCACCAGGATCAAGTTGTGATACTAATAAAAATGGCCCACTATGTCAAAGCTGTTGGATCTGTATATTGATGGGCAGACTTATGGCTCCATCTTCTAAGATAATAGAGGAATGTACTCCAGAACCTTAATAGCTGAATTGAGATCTGCAGACAGGCATGGTCACTATTAGCATCACCCATCACCAGGGAATGTACTAGAAATGCAGAATCTCAAGTGCCACCATATATATATATATATATATATATATATAGTGTGTGTGTGTGTATAGATCTGCATTTGAGAAAGATTCTCATATATTAAAGTGTAAATAAGGTTATAAAGAAATGAATGCATTTAAAATAAACTTATTCATGTAAAGTTACTGAATGAATTTTGGTGATGGAAAAAATGAACTGAGAAAAAAAAGGAGAACACAGCCTTACCTTTGTTTCTGACCTATTTCCAGAAGCTTCTGAACATCAGTTTTAGCAGATATCTCATCGTTTTTCAAATTCTGATAAGAAAATAGGGAAAAGGAAGTCTTATTCAGGTGATAGATTGAAGATGACTTTACTGTTATGTTTATGGCACAAGGTGTGCCCTGAAATAAGAATGCACAAATGAGGCTATGATGGTCCCCTTGGCTCTCAGGATGCACAGTTTGACACCAACCAGTGAAAATGCTACACGATGAATGAAAGGGAATGAACTGAGTTTCAGTCTTTAGAGGTTCAATGAAAGAGGAAGTACTCTCCAAATATCTAGGTGTTTTTTAAAATGAATATGTCTGTATTTTTGCTTAGTGACTCAGTTGTGTGCAACTCTGCAACACCATGGACTGTAGCCCATCAGACTCTTTGTTCATGGGATTCTCTAGGCAAGAACACTGGCTAGGGTTGCCATTCCCTTCTGAAGGGGATCTTCCTGACCCAGGGATTGAATCCCAGTCTCCTGCATTGCAGGTGGATTCTTTACCATCTGAGCCAGCAGGGTAGCTTCATAATGGAATAAATGGAATATAAAATATATTATCTGTTCTTCATTCCAAGTTTTACCATGCTCTCTGCAGGCATGTTAAGCTTATTTTGGCATAGTTTCTACAAACAAAAGGAGACATAAAAACCTGACAAAAACCACTACAATATTGTAAAGTAATTAGCCTCCAACTAATAAAAATAAATGAGAAAAAAAAAAACCTCTCTACATAAGCTAAATAATAATACGTTCACAATCAAAGCAGTGAAATGGTATGTACCAAATAGGTACATAGGTATGTACCAAATAGGTCGTGTCTATCTATTATTTATAAGTAATGCATTAGTGTATAAAACTAGGACCAGTTCAAATTGTAATGGTACTGTATAGGTAGTGTATTAAGGAAAAAAACTAACACCTCACTCACTGGTGTTTATTTACTCTGGCAAATTTAGCATTGACAGACTGTGAATCAAAACAGAGAACTCCACTGAGCTTTTCTCATTAGGTAAGCTGCCTTGTTAAGCCTTCCCTAAGAACCTTCTTATTTATACCCAGTAAACTATTTAACATGGTAACAGATCCTTCTTGATATTAAAAGTTGAAATAGAGACAATAATATTGTTTGTAGGAAGAGCAGCTATGACAAGTAAAACATTAACAATAACAAGAATGGCAAATACTTTGTTTACTTAATGTTTATTTAACATCAAATTCATGGTGTCTGCCTTCACCAATTTTTTATCCTAATGGTAGGAACAATTTTCATACAGTAAGTTAAGCATTCTGATAGGTATGTTTTAGAGTGAACTTCACAAAAGAAGAATCTTTCCTAAAATGATTGAGGTCATTATTAGGAAATAGCCAATAAAAGATGCTGTGTTTTTTTGCAAAGAGTGCATGTATGCCTGCTAAGTTGCTTCTGTAATGTCCAACTCTTTGTGACCCCATAGACTGCAGTCTGCCAGGCTCCTCTGTCCATGGAATTCTCCACAGAATAATGCTAGAGTGAGTTGCCATTTCCTTCTCCAGGAGATCTTTTCAATTCAGGGGTTGAATTGGAAATCGATCCCACGCCTCTTACATCTCCTGCACTGGCAGGTGGTTTCTTTACCACTAGCACCACTAGCCCTTGGACAAAATAGCTTGATAAAGAAAACAGGATATGTTTCACACTTGATAATATACATGTTCCAATGCTATTCTCTCAGATCATCCCACCCTCGCTTTCTCCCACAGAGTCCAAAAGTCTGTTCTATAAATCTGTGTCTCTTTTTCTGTCCTGCATATAGGGTTATCGTTACCATCTTTTAAAATTCCATATATATGTGTTAGTATACTGTATTGGTGTTTATCTTTCTGGCTTACTTCACTCTGTATAATGGGATGGGGGGGGGAGATGGGAGGGGGGATCAGGATGGGGAACACATGTAAATCCATGGTTGATTCATGCCAATGTATGGCAAAAAACACTAAAATATTGTAAAGTAATTAGTCTCCAACTAATAAAAATAAATGAAAAAAAAAAAGAAAGAAAACAGGATAAAGAGGGCTGTGGGGAAATCATCAATCATCAAATTTACATTTCAAATTTACATATGCCCCATGGCCATATGACTTGGGGCAGGTCAGAAAATCTGCCTTTCAACTTTCTTGTGTGATAAATCGTGGGATTAGTTCCAGAAAAACATCTACTTCTGCTTTATTGACTATGCCAAAGCCTTTGATTGTGGATCACAACAAACTGCGGAAAATTCTTCAAGAGATGGGAATACCAGACCACCTGACCTGCCTCCTGAGAAATCTGTATGCAGGTCAAGAAGCAACAGTTAGAACAGGACATGGAACAACAGACTGGTTCCAAATCGGGAAAGAAGTACATCAAGGCTGTATACTGTCACCCTGCTTATTTAACTTACATGCAGAGTACATCATGAGAAATGCTGGGCTGGATGAAGCTCAAGTTGGAATCAAGACTGCCGGGAAAATATCAATAACCTCAGATACGCAGATGGCACCACCCTTATGGCAGAAAATGAAGAAGAACTAGAGAGCCTCTTGATGAAAGTGAAAGAGGAGAGTGAAAAAGTTGGCTTAAAACTCAACATTGAGAAAACTTAAGATCATGGCACCTGGTCCAATCACTTCATGGCAAATAGATGGGGAAACAGTGGAAACAGTGTCAGACTTTATTTTGGGGGGGGCTCCAAAATCACTGCAGATGGTGACTGCAGCCATGAAATTAAAAGAGGCTTGCTCCTTGGAAGAAAAGTTATGATCAATCTAGACAGCATATTAAAAAGCAGAGATATTACTTTGCCAACAAAGGTCCATCTAGTCAAGGCTATGGTTTTTCTAGTAGTCATTTATGGATGTGAGAGTTGGACTATTAAGAAAGCTGAGAGCCAAAGAACTGATGCTTTTGAACTATGGTGTTGGAGAAGACTCTCGAGAGTCCCTTGGATTGCAAGGAGATCAAACCAGTCAATCTCAGTCCTGAATATTCACTGGAAACACTGATGTTGAAGCTGAAACTCCAATACTTTGGCCACCTGATGCGAAGAACCGACTCATTGGAAAAGACTCTGATGCTGGGAAAGATTGAAGGTGGGAGGAGAAGGGGACGACAGAGGATGAGATAGTTGGATGGCATCCCCAACCCAATGGACATTAGTTTGAGTAAACTCTGGGTGTTGCTGATGGACAGGGAGGCCTTGCATGCTGCAGTTCATGGGGGTCACAAAAAGAAGGATACCACTGACAGACTGAACTGAACTGAACTAACATTTAGATAAACTGTGGGATTTCAAATTTAGGGTTTCCCGGGTAACTCAAATGGTAAAGAATCTGCCTGCAATTAAGGGAGACCCGGGTTTGATCCCTGAGTCAGGAAGGTCCCCTAGAGAAGGCAATGGCAACACACTCAAGCATTCTTGCCTGGAGAATTCCATTGACAAAGGAGCCTGGCGGGCTACAGTCTATGGAGTTGCAGAGAGTTGGACACGGCTGAAGAACTATTACACACATAATTTAGAAAAGCCACAGAGGACAGTGAAGGACAGGGGAGCCTGGCAAGCTGCAGTCCATGCGGTTGCGAAGAGTCAGACACGACTTAATGACTTAACAACAACAGTAGCCAGTTATCGGAAAACTCAAAGGGGATAACAGATGTGTGACATAACTTTGCAAAAATATGCTTATTCATTTGGCTATCTGCTATACTCTGGCATTGTAAAGGAAACCAAAATTAAAAAGTCACCATCTTTTCTTCAAGAAATTGAAAAAGCACAACACATGAAATAAGGAAATATAAAAGTGAAAAGAGTAGGTAGACAGATGGGACTCTGCAAAGTGTATGCAATTAAAGAGCAGGACAGCACTTAATAAATTATTATTTCCCCAGCAATGGCAGAGAAGGGAGATGTACATCTTGGAAAATAAGTTTGATGACTTTAAGGATACTAAAGATTGATATACCTAATGATTAATCAATATGATGTTTACTGACTGATCAGTATTACTATGCCATTCAGGTGTTATGGTTACAGAGATGAACAAGACTTACAAAGATCATATCTTTATGAAGCCCTATTGAAAAGAAAAATATGCACAATAAGTGATATTTACTCATTTATTAGATGTATGCCTTTGGGAAATTTCTTTGATTTTTTGTGAATTTTTCTTTAATTTTGTGAAGATATTGTTAAGGAGATTTAATAATAAAAAATTTAAAAATTCACCTTGTACAATGACTGGCACAAAATAAAAAAACATTAAAAATTTCAATTACATCTATGGATTGACTTATTATTCTTTTAAAAAGGTAACTCCACACAAAATTACACATTTCTTTCAAATAATTTCCTAGACTATAATTAGATGTCTTAACAGACTACAGGTCCAGAGAGACTGAGAGCCCTGGAAATATTGTAAGGATTGACCACTTCTGGCATTTCTTTCACTACATGTTTAGAAAATTCTCAGTGCCAGATGTTCTATTCCTCTAAGAAGGTGCAAGTGCAAATATTCTTTGTTGTCTCGTAAAACTTTTGAATTTCCACTTAATGAAAAGGTACAGTTCTGGCATCAGCTTCCTATGGCAATCAATACACAATACATTCCAAGACATCCCTAATGCTCCATGTATACTCCCACCATAGAACTGTCATTCCTGCACTCTTACCATCATGCTACCTGTCACTGTGTCCTATTGGAGTCTAAGTGATTTTCCTATTTTCATGTTCTCAAGACATAATACAGCTTCTGGAACACGAGCTTGGGTGTCGGCTTCAAAATAGCAGATCTATCTCCTAACTGTCCTCGTGCTCTTAGCTTCCGAACCCTTTTCTAATTCTGTTTTCTTACCTATAAAATGAGACTAATAATAATCATAGCATAATTATCATGTGAAAATTAATTTTAAAACCTGAAGAAAGAATACCTAACACAAGAGACCACATTCAATAAACTGCAACTGCAGTAGTTACTGACACCATCCTCACTGTCACAGGACTAGAAAGCTAAGAACAATGGTGATTATGCAAGGTTCAGAAACATGCTTCTGGGCAATAACTAACAGACTAGCTTTGAGTCAGACTGCTTGTATTTAAATTCTGGCTTCCTTTGTGACATTCAAGCATGATTCCTCATGTATAACAAGACAAATCACATTTATGATGCCTATTCTCATTGGTATATTATGAGAATTAAATTCTATAAGACATGCAAAGCTTTTGGGGTATACTGTATATTCAATAACTACAATGTTAAAGGAAAATATTAAATATATTCTCAGATAGTTCAGAAACTTTTCTTTTCAAGTATAAGTATTGTGTTTGGTTTTTGCTTGAGATTTCACTGAATGTTAATACATTTTCACAGATGACACTTTCCTTTGTGAGGATTTACCTGCTGTAGTAATGAGGTTTATCAAAGAATTTTCAGAACTATCTTCTGTGGAATTTAAAGTTCTCCTCTAGAGATCATTTATATATTCATTTAACTCTTGGCCATAATTGCTTTTCATCATTTTGTAATATAAAAAACACAGGGGTCAAGTTGATCTTAGAAGCTGTGAGAAATTGATGGCTTTGCCAAACACAAATTTCTCATTCCTGACTTTGCAAACCCCAGATTCTTAGACTGCATTTCAAATGACATTTCTTTTCAAAGCTCATATAATAATAAATAGTAACTCCCATGTTCAAGACCAGGAATATATTTAAAACTGGTAAAAAAAAATTGTGGAAGTCTTCATGTATCAATCCACTGAGACAAACTAGGTGATTCCCTACACTTGGCTGCTGAGAAAATTAGTTTTCATCTCACCTGAAGGTTGGTTTTAATTCCATCAAGTTCTCTTGATGTCTTTGTCAGCTGACGGAGGATGGTGCTTCGCTCCTTAAAGACTTGTTTCAGCTGCTTTTCTAGCTCTTCATAGTCCTGTCTAACACAGAAAGAAAAGGCATGAAGACCTCCCAAATTCTTCACTTGGCTCTAGCCACTTTGGCCATGATCACAAACCCTTGCATTTTAAGCAAAGTCTAGATGAATGGAAACCTTAATTATTAGGATGTTTCCATGACATCACCACACTTTTTTCTCAGGTCCTTCAAGCTTTACAGCAAGACATTTGATTGGAACCAAAGTAGCTCAGAGATTTAGATAGATTCTGACACTGGGGGGCAAACTTGGGTAGAACCAGGACAGAATGAAGGGGGTTTTCTTCACCCTTGGTTTGTAGGAAATGGAAATCCACTGAAAAGGCACCCCTTTCCAAATCTCTACTACTACTAAAGAAGTATTGGACAAAGCAAAAATGCCTCTAAAAATCAGTCAGTTACTATAGTAATTACAGTGAAGTTTGAACAGGCTTGTTAACTATTATTATGAAAGAAAGCCTTATCTATCACACATACATACATGTGTAATTTTTTTCCTATTTTTCTCATATGGACTTTGCAAGATAACAAGGTAGGTACTTAGTTCTAATTTTGCCAATATAAAAGACTGAGCTCAGAAAAATTCACTATGTTAAGATCCTATGCAAGGAATGAATGAAGAAGTAGGGTGTGTATTTGTGTATGTATCTGTATATGTCATAGCAAGTGTGTACGTGCATGGAAAAAGTGTAGACAAGGAAACAGTTGTCAGTGCAGCCTAGGAACTACACCTGATAGGGAAAGGTTAAAAAATGATTAACTGGCACACAGAGGTGGTTAGAGATTAGAGTCATGAATCCAGGGAAGACCTCCTGGTAAAAGCAATACAAGATACAGGCACTTTGACCTAGATGTCCATCAACAGATGAATGGATAAAGAAGTTGTGATACATCTATACAATGGAGTATTACTCAGCCACAAAAAGGAAAGCATTTGAGTCTGTTCTAATGAGGTGGATGAACCTAAACCTATTATACAGAGTGAAGAAAGTCAGAAAGATAAATATAAATATTGTATAGTAACACACATATATGAAATCTAGAAAGATGACACTGATGAATCTATCTGCGTGGTAGCAATGGAGAAAAAGACACAGAGAACAGACCCATGGGCACGGCGGGAGTAGAGGAGGGAGAGGCTGAGATGTATGGAGAGAGTAACACACTTACAATACCGTATGTAAAATTGATAGCCAATGGGAATTTTCTGTAAGACTTGGGAACTGAAACAGGGGCTCTGTAACAATCTAGAGGGGTGGGATGGGGAGGGAGATGGGAGGGAGGGGACACGGGTGCACCCATGGCTGATTCTAGCTGCTGTTTGACAGAAGCATCAACATTCTGTAAGGCAATTATCCTTCAATTAAAAAATAATTTAAAATGAGCTTTGAAAGATAAGTCGAATTTAGCTCTATGAAAAGGAAATGCATGTATAAATACTAATAAAAATGAAAATATGTATATAAGTGTCAGAAGGTTTGGAGGAGGAAATAGTGGGTAAGAAATCTGCTTCTGAAATGAGGATGTGGAGGGTATGAGCAAAAGAATGCAAGTCTCTTAACATGGTTAGAAGGATGAGCATTGTTTTGAAAACAAGGAGAAGCAACTGGAGAGTTTTAGGCAGGGACTGACATGTCAGCTTTATGTTTTGGAAAGACTTCTCTGGCTATAAACTGGGAAATGCACTGGAGGAAGGAAAAATTTGGAGAAAAGTAGGCAGTAGAGGAAGTTACCATTGCAATAATCCAGGGGAAAGACTGTTCGCCTAATTTAGATTCAAAGCACTAGAGACAGAGAAGCTTGGATTGATTTCAGCAAAACATACAAAATTGAATCTATGATATATAATTAAAATTTTTGTATTCTGTGTGTATGTTACAAGGAAAGAGTGGGAAGGAGCTAGTCATTAATGTTGCCAAGCCTCTGGTTTAGGCAACAGTTAAATGCAGCCCTTCACTGAAAGAGTCTACTGTGTAAACAATTTTTTAGTGAAAACTGGGTTGACACGTTCTGTATTCAACTTGTAGGAAAATGGCTCAAATTCTCTTTTTAGTTTCTTTGTCTGTAAAAGGCAGTGCTACATGACCTCATGAGATTGTTCTTTGTTACATGGAGCAACTTATATAATGGAGGTAATTCATTTTTAAAAATATAAAATTTTTATGACTGAGGAATTTGATGAATTTACCATCTTTCTGCAGAATTATAAAGGAAATGGGTCTACCAGTGAGCTTAGTCATGACTAACAAATGAATGCCATCTACAATAATTTTCTATTACAATTCTTTGCCTTTTCTCATTTTTTTAAACGCAAGTTTCTAGCACTCTTCACTTTTTTTTTTTTCACTTTCTTCTTATTCAAAGGAAATTGGAATGCTCCACTGTAAGAACCTCAATATTTCTCCCTGGCTTTGAGATTTTCACTGATGAATCAGCCAGTAATAAGACAGCGATTAATGCCCCAGGTTTCCTTTCAATCTCATTAGCAAAGTCAAATAATGAATAGCTAGGCACACAGTCATCTACTTCTAATTATACAACTTTACTTCATGACCTGATTTATCTTCCTGAATATTTGTGACAACAGACACATCTCCAAAATTATTTTAAGTGGCCATAATCAATCACAGTGTTACATTCCAAATATTGACAATGTATTATATGCAAGATGGTCTTCTGTATGTTCACTTTTCTAATCTTCAGAACTTTATGAGAAAAGCACTAATATTAATAAGTTCTAGTACTAATTCCATTTTACAGTTGAAGAAACTGAGTCACAGGAATAATAACTTCCAGTACCATATTAAGGAAGTGTATCAGTCTCCAGTATCCAATGTCTTTGCCATTGCACTGTAGGAACATACTGATTGCCTACAATTTTGTTAGAAGTTCACTGTGCCCGTCACAGATCTCATTGTGTGCTATTTATGCCATCACTGTTGCATATATAAGTTTTCAGTATTTGGATTTATTTGCCATTAAAAAAATTATCAATAGCATTCCTTTATTATCACTTTTAATCATCTTTTTGTTGAAGTATTATTGCTTTATAATGTTTTGTAATCAGCTATGTGTACACATTTATCTTCTCCCTCTTGGACCTCCCTCCCACCCGCTCCCCCATCCCAGACCTCTAGGTCATCACACAGCATGAAGCTCAATTCCCTGAGCTATACAGCAGCTTTCCACTAGCTAGCTATTTTACACATATGTGCTAAGTTGCTTCAGTCATGTTCGACTCTATGTGACCCTATGTAGGCTGCCAGGTTCCTTGGTATGGAGATTCTCTAGGCAAGAACACTGGATTGGGTTACCATACCCTTCTCCAGGGGATCCTCCCAACCCAGGGATCGAACCTGAGTCTCCTGCATCTCCTGCACTGCAGGCAGCTTCGTTACCGCTGAACCACTGGGGAAGCCCATCTATTTGACACGGATAATGTATATATGGAAATCCTAACCTCCCAATTCATACCACCCTCATCTTCCCCCCCCTGGGTCTGAGTCTCTACTGAATGTGTGCTTGCGTTCTCAGCCGCTTCAGTCATGTCTGACTCTTTGTGACCCTACGGACTGCAGCGCACCTCCAGGCTCCTCTGTCCATGGGATTCCATTCCTGCTTGCCAAATAGTTCCATTTGTACCATTTTCTTGGATTCCACATATATACGTTAATATATGACATTCGCTTTTCTCTTTCTGAATTACTTCACTCCATTTGATGGAATCTAGTTCAGTCCATATCACTCAGACGACCCAATTTCAATCCTTTTTATGGCTGAGTAATATTCCACTGTATATATGTACCACATTTTCTTTATGCATTTATCTACCAATGGGCATTTAGATTGCTTCCATGTCCTGGCTATTGTAAACAGTGCTGCAATGAACACTGGGGTACATGTGTCTTTTTGAACTATGGTTTAATTCCATTCTCATATCTGGCCTTCAAATAACTTCACGAGAAAAAGAGAACCAATTTTAACTCCTTTATTTTCTGGCAAATATAATAAGAACCATGAGGATACCATTTATCAGAAAAATAAAGCCAGAAGTGTTCATAATACAACTCTAGATTCAGTCTTTCAAAGACATTATAAAAGATAAAACCAGTTACTCTGTAGAAGTAAATTACCATGACAGAAGCATTTGGTACAATTTTATCGGATTTTCTAACATTTACAAGTAAGTGTATGTTTATCTTCCAATACATGGTTTCTCCCAAGACAAAATGCAAAAAATGCAATGTTCATGAAGTCATGTTTTGCAACTGACTTGTCTTGGAGCTCTTTCCATGTCTACACACGTTAAAATCTGTTATTCCCATATGGTAATATATTTTACCGCTGGATATTTAAAGTGTTTTCAATTTTTCTTTTTCTCTTGAAAAGTAATGAAGTCCATATACATGGGTAAAAATATTTTTCCTAAAACATATGTTCCCAGAAGTTGAAATATTTCAGTTCAAAGTTGACATGTTAACTTTGATGGGTGCTAGTAAATTGCCTTCCTGTAAACTAGGCTTTGGCTTCCAGATAGCTCAGGTGTTAAGAATCCACCTGCCAATTTTGATCCCTGGGTCAGGAAGATCCCCTGGAGTAGGAAATGGCAACCCACTCCAATATTCTTGCCTGGGGAATCCCATGGACTGAGGAGCCTGGCCGGGCTCTAGTGTGGGGGGGGTCACAAAAAGTAGGACACAACTTAGTGACTAAACAATGACAAAACTAGGCTAGTCTGCACTTCTCTTATCAGTGCATTCTGATAGTCTTTCTCAACATGTTCACCTCAAATGGAAATTGCCCTCCCTTCCTTTATATATTTGCTGATATTATGAGTGAACATTGATATTATCTTTCTCATATGATTTCCAGTCACTTTCTCCCTGGTGGCTCAGATGGTAAAGTGTCTGCCTACAATGTAGGAGACCTGGGTTCAATCCCTGGGTTGGGAAAATCCTCTGGAGAAGGAAATGGCAACCCACTCCAGTACTCTCGCTTGGAAAAT